GATTAAGTGTGGAGACATTTCCCTCCAATTACGCAGAGCTCGAGAATTGCGACATTAGATGATTGTGGCATCAGGTAATGAGATACGTAACATCGAGCCTCACTGTTCCCTCCTTCAGACAAGAAATCTAAAGTCGACCTTCTCAGCAGCCTTGTTGAAGTGTGTATTTTCAATGGAATAACTCATTTGTTCACAAAACAAGGACAAGGTGCCGATGCTGACCACCTCAATGGTAATTTGTCAATTCGAGTGCGTCTGTGCCACAATGTATAATGGTCGAACATCGCCGCAGTTATCCAAATGCGTGAACCAAACTTTCCCTCGTTGGCTGCGCCAAGGGGGCGCCGGGACCATTAGCAGCGCCATGCTAACCCACATTTTGGACACCGACCATGAGGTGCTTGGAAAAGCGCCTTCCGAATAGTTTACAACGTTCCGCTGCACCGAACGAAAGGTTATCGCATTTGTACACTTGCGACAGCTAAAGCAATTTGCATTCGATTGTTCCAGCAGTCCTTATGCTCAGAGAAGAAGCTAGTCAATTCTCTCCGGCTTCCCTGGCCAGCAAAGACGGAAGATGCCCAGGTCGACTGTTTTCGGTCAGACGCGGTAGCAAACAACTAGCCCACTAATACCTAATTCGTTTGCTCCTCGCTGACATAGGCCCTCTCGTGATCTATTCGTTTTGAACCCACTGGCTCGATTTTTATTTTTACCTCCAAATGCTTGTAATGATCTGATGATGAATCATTGAAGTCAATTGATGACCAGATGGTCTTAAGTTATCGAAACGCCTTAAAATCTATTCCATCGTTTTCCGCCAATGGAGATTGAATGTCTTGTAAAGCGACGGCATCCCGCTCCAGAGGTTGAAGAAATCCGGCTTTTCTGCATCCCTTTGGTATTATTTCTGATTGAACTATTAACCAAGCTGAAGTTATCCAAAGCACAGCATCAGGCGCATTAAAGGAAGCAATAGATGAACTTCCTTACACATGGGACTCATTAGTATGCAATTTTGCCATAGCCCTTTGCATGAGATGAATTCGGTAGAGCAGAGATTGAATCTGTAACGTCACGTTTCGAGACAACTACCTAAGTGTACTATTTGTGTAATTTGTATGTATTTGTGACTAGGACAGTTGTCCTTTGTTACGATAATGAAGCGTTTCTTCTTTATAATTTCTTTGTCGATACTTCTGATACACTCCTCAAATATGACAGCAGTGATTAAAACAGATCAGTTTGATCTCCAGATAATTGGAAGGTTTTCAGTATTTAGTTTTCAGAACTAAAGTGATCTAGTTGACTTACAATTGACCAGGGGCTTTAGCTTCTCCCCACTTGGGCTAACGCACAACAGAACCGTGAAATTTTCTTTGGAATGTTTTCCACTTGTGCATACGTCGCCCTTCATTGAAAAACTTTTGTTGGGCATCGCACTGAAAAAGAGCCCGAAATCTTCAGCGTTAAAATTGTCGTTTTGGAAAATTTTTCGACAAAGACTTGAAAAACTCTTTAGGCACTTCATTTGATTTACCATCCAGAACTCATTGGGAACTTTTATTTCGCTACCCAATCACTGGAAACCCGGTAATCTGCAACCTCAAATTCTAGTAAGAATCTTTAGAAATTTCTTGGATTCTCGGACCAAAAATGAGAGGGTTAAGGCTGATACCTAACCGGGCGTGCATCACACGCGTCCAAGCCAACGCAACTTATTCAATGCTCTCTTTTGCTCCTGATTACCACCACCTAGTACAGGCACAGCACATTGTAGTTGCGGATTCGCTGGCGCCATCCGACAACAGCAATGCTTCGTAGACAGCAGTGACCAAAGACCTGAAAGTACCTCAGGTCCTCAGATAGAGGGGATCATAGCTCACTACCATAGTGCAAGACGGTCCTCGCTGCAACCGTGTATACACGGTTATTAAGACAGAGGAAAACCCCCTGTTGACGCAGCAATGTCGCAGGTCCAAGAAAGCTCTTCTAACTTTTGCAGTACGGGAACTTACTTCAGTGGCCACGAAGTCATCACCGCCAATGCAGCTGCCAGGTTAGATGAATCGATCAGAAACTTCTTTCTTCCCGATCATATATGTATATATATATATATATATATGTATATCAGCAGTATACCGATAAACAGCACCCAAGCCGCGCTGTCGTAGGTAATTGAAAACCATCGCCCAAATGTTCTTGCATTTGATGAGTTTAATTGGACAGGCTAGAATAATTTCCCGACATTGGTGATGTAAGCACATGTGATAAAGAATTGTGTGCAACACATTGCCTAATTACTAAATCCTATGTGTCTCAACTTAAAACTGATTCTTCATGAACAGAGACAAATGTAGATAACACTATGTAATACGACGTTTGTTTCTAGGTTGTGAGTGTTATTTTTCAACCATTCCTGTTTAAAACTTAAGCACAAACACCAATATTCATTATGGACTTTGATTTTTCGTTGTTAGCCTACAAATGTTTGACAATTATAGAACCCAAGTAAGAAAATATTTACATCCATTATTATATTCCAGCTGTCCAAAAACAGTGTAGGTCCTAGCATAGATAAACACAAAGACAGGTAAAGTAGATTTTCTGGATTTGTGGCTACAGTGTATGTAGGTATCTCACGAGATGCCCCAAACTTAGACTCCATCAGGTTTTCTTTATACTGCTCTTAGTAACGAAATTTAAAATACAGTAAATAGATCTTGGTGAAAACGCCTCCTCAGGTGCTCTGAGCAAACTCCCATGTTCTCTTTGTATCTATCTAAATGGGCATCAAGAATATGGAGTTTGAGAGATAGCTGCAGCTTAGTTTTGCATAGTTCCTTAGGGGTCTCAAAACACGGCTCATAGTTTTCAGTCCTGTGATTGCCCGAAGTCCAGTGAACCACTGCAACGAAACTGTTCCAACCGGCCTTCTCTGTCGTATGCAGTTCCTCTCTGAATAGATTCAGATTTGTGGTTCAACGAAGATGTTAGCTTTGACCTTTGTAGCTGCCAGCTGTGGATACAAATGTTGTAGATATTTGAAAGCCGCAGACTTCCTGTCTGCGGCATCTACAAATGGTTTAGTGAGATCTAACTTGATTTGCAATGGTGTTATCAAAACGTCCTGATGGTCTACCAACGACCACCATTTGATGTTGCTCTTCCTAATTGGGAATTCACTTCACTGTAGCCAATGACTGCGGCGATAATGTGCCTTAGTGTCCCGACTGCCCCACAAGTGAAAAAAAGCCTGGAAGCTTGGCGAAACCATTTTGCAGCTTCGTAAGAAATCACACTATTTTGAATTCTTAAACGACCTCCCAACAACAGTCAACAAACTTCAATGCACTCAGCAACATTTTAGTGTTGAGATAGTCCGCTTTAAAATGCACAAAATAAACCATAGGAAGAGACGGGTACATGTTGATTTTATGAAGTAATACAGCTTTAAGGCTCCTGAATGAACTGTCTACAGATGGACACCAAGCACTTGGGCTACAGGTGACTCCCATATCCTTGAATACATCAGCAACATTGTTACACATGCATAGCCCATGCCGTTTTGTTATGAAGTTGGAAAGACTTTGGTGACGCATTTTCTGATCCGTGACTTGCACGCGTTTATCTCACATGTTCCAATATTTGAGCATAGCTGCCAGAAGATAAGCGCCCGACTTCGTATGACTGTGGCCTATAATAAGATTGTTGAGATTTTCCGATTGGGGAATTATGGTGTTCTCTTCTCAAATGTAGTTGCGATATCGGGACCTGGGTGTGAAGTAACTTGCTTCCTGTCAGTCTTCGTTTTAGCTCCTGAAGATTGATGTTCCCTCTCTGCTGGAGGAGGAATGGGGAGACCGGAGCAGTGTGGTACAGGGTCAATGGATGAGGGAATGTCTGGACGAGTGATAGCAGGGGCAAGCTTGTTACTTTGGACGGGTTTAACATACGGTAGTAACTAATGGTCGGTTGTTTCCCTCCAAACTTTTAGAACAGCAAAACTGATGGCTCTTTTTTCCTTTCTGTGCCATCCTGTAATCACAGTGAATAAAATAACAAAATATGGTGCTTGCTGATAATATAAAAGGGCACATTGCTATTGTATACCGCATTCTTATTTTTCTTTATAATTTTGATTATTCGCTCAACTGCAACTTTTAAAATTAATTAAGTAATCTGTTGTAACTAAATAAAACGCAGCCACCTGTAGGAGCAACAAATGCTAACCCTGTCTTCAAGAGCTCTTCTGCTATGTTCGTATGTGAAACGAGGTGCCAATGATTTGTGACGATCACGGACTGGAATTCCACACAGTACCTTCTTAGCCTCCGTCATTATAAAACGTCCAAGGTTGTAACAGAATGCATCCGCTGCGTGCAAATAAGCTCTAGACGCCCATCTGTTATTAATATATTGATATTCACCACACGCATACCTTTCAGTAACGTATACTGGAATGCTACATTTATGCCATTTCTCTCATATATTTCGATTGCTACAAGACTGTTCCCGTAGGAGCTTGAATGTTCTAAAAGATGTCATACAGTATTAGCGAATTCTGGAAAATTATTAAAACATCTGTAAAGGTGTTGCGTCTACAGAATGTTTCATTTAGCAGTGAATGGAGAGGAGAAATTTTCTAAAATCGTATGCATTAAAAATAACACTGTCCAGATCAGAATAGCAAACTCCCGTGGAACAGACGCCATTTTCTATTTATTAGAGTCAAACAGAAATAGGAAAACACACATTTCTCCTAGAAACAGAAAAAGGTCGAAATTTGTTGTCTAATGTAATAGTCCTAATAACATACTTTAAAGAGTCAGAACGGTTTTTGTTATAGCGGACCTGCTGCTTGGTAGACAGGAAATCCATACTCTTGTAAAAAACAACCCACGAAATCCGGTAACATCCGGCGGCATTCACCGTGTTCAATTTGCACTTATTCTATTACTATTTCATATATTGTTCCCTTCTTCCCCCGATTTTCTCAGGCTGTCTTCGATTGTGTGGTCAGTTCGCTGAAGAATGTGTTCAACATTCTCATCGTCTACTGGTTGTTCCAATTCATATTCGCAGTGATAGCTGTTCAACTCTTTCAGGGCAAATTCTTCTATTGCAATGATGTCTCAAAGATGACTCGTGAGCAGTGTCAGTGAGTTGCTTGCCCGGCTCTTTTAAAAAGCTGATAAAATATCCCGGGAGTAAACATCAGAAAAAAGTTAGCGAACAAGGCTCGTTTTCAGTGGTTCCTCACCAGGCTAATACAACACAAATGAACAACATGAACGTAAATATAAGCTAAGAGTACAGGTTCAAAACCCAGATGGTCTGAGTTGACCAAGTTAGGGCGATTGGCCCCAAGGCGAACAACGGTTTATTTGTGTGTATGGCGTTGTCCACCCTATGTGTGCATGTTACAGGGGATCAGGGTAGAGTTAGTGCCTGGACAAATTTCTTGTGTGCATATAGGTCAAGGTCATGAAGCCTGATGGCTATCGCCTCGGCCACTGCCAGTAGACGACATCTAACGCGTACCCAGTGTG